AGGTGCTATTCTTAAATATTTTTGAATATTTGAAATAAAATAGTAAACTTTTGATTTTTTTTTTGAATTAAAAGAAAAATGGATGTGTCGATGATTGAATGGTGAATTGTGTGATTCCTTTTGAAAAATATTATAAGTTTAGTTTTTTTTTTTTTAGTTCTCTCTGGATTTTCGCTGGTCCGTCAATGGTGATCTGAGAGACTCTTTCACGAATCTAATTGGTTTCTATGTGTGACAGAGAGAGACAAGGAGACGAATTTCAAATCTAGGGTTTCTCATTTTTTGCTCCTCTGTTCTCTCTTCCTCTCATTAATCCTTAACTGTCGCGAGGAAGAGGACGACGTTGAATACAAGGGAGAGGGAAGAAGAAAAAGAAATATTGACGAAAGATGTCTACATTGGACTCCATTGATGCGATTCTCTTCTCTCTTAGCAGAGCTTTTACAAGCCCTTTCGCTGTCTTCGTTCAGATCCAGGTGAGTTTGTTGTTGTTGGTTCCGATCCAAAGTTTGGTCCTTTTCTCTTTCAAAATTTTGAATTTTGCTTGCTCTTCTGAATCACACGTTCGGATTCCAAAAAACCCAATTCGTTTGTTTTTTCTCTTACGTTGGTTCAGATCGAAAGTTTGGTCCTTTTCTATTTGAATGTTGAGGTTAAGATACGTTTTGTTCTCTAAAGTTATGCAAAGTACTGATTTTTATGTACCGTATGAAGCGTAGAGGAGAAGAAATTGAACGTTTGTTGTTGAATCAAACATAAATTTTTTGCATCATCAATGTATTTCAGGAAGAATGAATGGTTAAGATCATATAGATCCTATCAGTTTTTGGCTAAATGTCTTCTCTTTTAACTTGTTTGATCAAGCAACTTTGTTCTTAATGTTTCTTTTATATGCCTCAGGGGTGTACAATATGCTTACTTCTTGCTCTCGGCTGGTTAATGGCTGAATATGTCAGGTAGTGTCTTTTACCTTAAAAATGCCTGATTTTGATGCTATTTTGATTTTACAATCTGAATTTTGTTTTCTGAAATGTGTTTTGTGTTTTATCTCTACCTCTAAGGAACCGTGAGGTTAAGAGAATTAAAAAAAGCATAAAAGCGGGCAATAGCTTGGCGTTTCTTTATCAAGATATCAATGAACTTGAGCACTCTAGGCAGGAAAAACTTCCCAGAGTTTCTGTTGTCATGCCTTTAAAAGGTTTTGGAGAACACAATTTACACAACTGGAGAAGTCAGGTCAGTCTCTCATGTTGCAGTATCATTGTCTCCTTTTCTAGGCAGAGTTTTTTTTTACCAGAGAAGTTTGTTGCTTCCAACTTAATTTTGAATATTGATCCATGTGTAGATTACTTCTCTCTATGGTGGGCCATTGGAATTCCTTTTTGTTGTAGAAAGTACGGAAGACCCTGCATATCACGCCGTTTCCCGTCTATTATCTATGTATCAGGTACATCAGACATGTTTCAACATATCATTGTGGTTGTGTAATTTCTTTTCCAGCGATGGAAGTATAGTATACAAAAGTTCAACTCATAGTGTATAAGGCCTTCTTTTGTCTTGAAGTATCTACTGACTCCACATTTTTCCTAATCGATACACAGGATCATGTTGAAGCTAAGGTTGTGGTTGCTGGGTTATCAACAACTTGCAGCCAGAAAATTCATAATCAGTTGGTATGTATGATCTTTGAAGCAGATCGAATCAGTTGCACTAGTGTGTTTTTTTTTTTCTCTCTCAATATTTTCATCTCTCCTTTGTGACTGTTCTTGAATCAACTGTAGTCACAACCATGAAAAGCTAAACTATCTTCCGACATACATTTTTCATTTTTGTTGTTCATTCATTGGCTTTCGCTAAATTTTCATGTTTCTGGCTTCTGTTTCTTGAAGATTGGAGTTGAAAAAATGCACAAAGATACCAAATATGTGTTATTTTTGGATGATGATGTTAGACTGCACCCTGGAACAATCGGAGCTCTCACGACTGAGATGGAGAAAAATCCAGAGGTGGTACCCAAACTACAGAATTCCTGAATTAATTGGCTTAACTTTTCTATCTACATTTCTTCCTTTTTCTGTTTCTGTTTACATGTATAAAAGACATAGCTAATGATAGGCCCTTAATTATCTTTCCTTCTGTTTGAATTTGTTTAACAGATATAGTGATTTCTTGCAGATATTTATTCAAACTGGGTATCCTCTAGACTTGCCGTCTGGGACTCTTGGGAGTTATTGCATCTATGAGTACCACATGGTACAGTGGATCTAAACCCTGGCTTCTTTATCAAGTTGTTAGATTCTTCATAATTGTAGCATATCGTAATTTGAGCTAATATTTGGCATGTTCACTTTACAGCCTTGCTCAATGGGATTTGCGACTGGTGGAAGAACATTCTTTTTGTGGGGAGGGTGTATGATGGTATGTAGATAACATGGTATATATAATGTGTGTTTTGTATTCCCTGCTACATCTAATTTTGGTTTATGTTTGCAACTATTTGTAGATGCATGCCGATGATTTCAGACAAGATCGGTACGGTGTTGTCTCTGGCTTACGTGATGGTGGATATTCAGATGATATGACACTTGCCTCTCTAGCAGGTAACATTTGCTTCAAATTTCCCTCCAATTTGTAGTTTACAGTTTTTTCTTGTTTCCACTCACCTTCTTCTTTCCAGGTGCTCACAAGAGGCTCATTACATCTCCTCCTGTTGCTGTTTTCCCTCATCCTCTCGCAAGTGATCTAAGTTTTGGACGGTACATTCTCTTATTTACTTGTTTGAAACAAAAGGTACTGAATATTTAGATGCCTATCAATTTTTGTTCTTTTTTTGTTTTATAGATACTGGAACTACTTGAGAAAGCAAACCTTTGTGCTAGAATCTTACATATCCAAAGTCAACTGGATAATGAACAAGGCTTTGTTTGCCGTCCACTGTTATCTTTCATGGGGTTTTGTTGCACCATATGTTATGGCTGTCATTCACATCACATCAGCTTTAAGAATCTACATCAAGGGCTATCATCAACTTGAAGACACAACCTTTGCTTCTGGTGGTGAGCATACTTTTCTTCTTATTTAGGTGGGTTATGTGTTCAAGATAACATAAATTTGTTCTAGTGCCACGATGATTGCTCGTGTGTTGGGGGGGATCTTAGATTTGCTGCATTGCATGTGGAACCATAGTGATTTGTCATCTTCAACTTAAATTGTAGGATTGTCTGGTTTTCTTATGATACATACTGACCTGGAGGATGAGGTTCTATGTAGGTATGATGCTTGTTATAACGTTGGCGATCTGCACCTTCATCGAGCTTCTTTCAATGTGGAATTTGACGAGACGAGAAGTTCAGCTATGCAATATGTTATCCCCTGAGGCTCCCCGTCTCTCTCTTGCAACTTACAACTGGGGACTTGTATGTGCTTTCAACCCCCTTTATTGATTAGAGTAAATAGCGTCGAAAGTTGTGGCGATGATAGATATGGAGGTAACATTTTCGTTTTGGTTGGGGGGAAAATTACAGGTTTTTGTAGCAATGCTTGTAGACAACTTCCTATACCCGATCTCAGCTTTCCGTTCTCACTTTTCTCAATCCATAAACTGGTCTGGAATCCGATACCACTTGAAAGATGGAAAGATATTCAAGGTAAATCATTTGTGTCTCCAAATAGTTTCCTCATATCATTTCACGTGTCTTGAATATGTAATGTTCACCTAGAGAAGTGTATCTGTAATTGTTTGCAATGTGATGTCAGATTGAGAGACGAAAGGATATGGGACCAGCAAAGACCGATTTAGGAGGCAAACACTTGTATGGTAAGAAAGGAGCTCCTCAGAAAGCTTCATTCTTAAGCTCATTGGGAAGAAATTTGGCTCACTGGCGACAACCGAAAAAATTCGATGTTTAAAAAGTCCGTATTTATACAGTAGAAGAAAGCTCAAAAGTCATTCTAGCCCGGGAATTCGCGGGTAAACTGATGATTCTTTGCGATGTTGGTGATTCTTTTTCAAGAAGGGGAAGATTTGATCTTGTTTTAATTTTTTTTTTTTGGTTGGCTTCAAAATGTTTATTGGTGAAGAAAGGCATTATTCCCCTTTGGTAAATTTTTATTTATTGATCTCTCTGTTTATTTTATTATGGGGTTTTTTTTTTACTTAGCCGTTTTGAGATGAAATATATTGCTCACCATCTTAATTCATCACCTTGATTTCTGTAATTTTTGGTTCTTCATCTTTCATCTTTTTAGTTTGTTGTGTATCATACAAATGTTCAATCCAAATATAATTCGCATTCTTGCATTGTTTTCTTTTCTTCTTTACAAAACTTTCTCGTCTACATCTCCTTCGCTACTTTTATATGTATTGTGTAATCCAGATCTCCGTTTATATATATAGTGCCAGGGGTCAAACGTGTGAGAGTTCGTAAGATGTTAAGTCACATTTGTCTATGGTCATTGGGATAATCGTGCACCATCAAATTTGATGGTAATCTCTAAAAACATTACACAAGAACCGGAGCTCATCAAGGTTCTTCAAGCTTTGAGATCAAAGAATCATAATGTTCTCGTAGCACAGCCGCCTGATTGTAATGTCGAAACGGCAGTGCTACTTCAAACTGTAAGCTCATCCATATGGCGTTCGAGAATCCTACTTGATCGAGGAATCCTTATCGAACAAAGTGGAAGCTCACAACATGTTGTTAGTACGACTTGTACTTGTAACGGATGCTTACAAGCTGTTGCGAATAAGCTTGCCAACAAGCGGAAGAAGCAGCAGGAGCGTAAGAAACGGAAGAAGCAGAAGAAGCAGAAGAAGCGCAAGGTCACAACTACTACCAAGGGGGAGACTGAATGCAAATGATGTTTTATCATTCTTGCTTTTATTATATATGATCCTCTGGTATCTTAGGATTGAAGCAGCTAATTAGCTACAGTATCTTGCATTCTGTTTTTTTTTGTTTTTTGTATCTTGCATTCTTGCGAAAGAATTCCTTTGTGACTACTCTTGTGTGCCCAAATTATCGTAAAACTTGACTCTATACTTTGTGACTACTCTTCATTGATCTGCTTAGCTCCTTTAATTATTTCAGCATTCCAAAAACGTTTTTGTTAAGTTAGACAAAGGTTTGTGTCTTGATCTCTCTATCTTGCTCCTTTATTTCTGCATTCGTACGTATTCTAGCATTTTGCTGGGTTGGTGTTTCTCTCTTTGGTTTTGTTGTATGGCTTCCTTGCTCTTTGGGCTTCTATCCTTTGCTTTGTGTCCCTCTATTGGGCTATTGGCTCCGAAAGGATTTTAAACCTTGTTGGTTTTGTGTAATCAAGTTTTCATATACAACGCGGTCACAAAATCAAGGTTGGCATAAGTTTACATAATTGAAATCACAACCACCAACTACTCTTTAACCTCTATATAATCTCTCTTTGGAGTTCTCTCTTTGCTACAAAAAAAATCAAATCAATAAAATAATTGAGTGATCATGGCCAAGCCTTGTGCTGCATTTCTTCTTGTCTTCCTCTGCCTTTCCATGCTCATCCTGTCAACCCCTGGTGAGTTCTCTAATCTAATAATAACAATGCCATATATATCATTGTAATTTGTAAGTTCAGGATATTCAAAATTAAGGAATAAGCTAACTATTTCTGAAAAATGCAGAAGTGGATGCTAAGCTATGCATGTCAATCAAAACGTTGACAAATATTAGTTGCGAGATGGACGACTGCGACTGCGACTACGACCACAAATGCGGTGAGTGGGATGATGAGAGCTATGGAAATTGCAAACAACACCATATCCGAACCGTTTGCAAATGTACTTTGAACTGTCCTGAGACTTCATCTACGTCGAACGCATAATAATAATGCATGCATATTTTCAAATCAATGAAAGAAAACCATCTTATTAAGGAGTCGTAAGTTTGAATGTATTGAGATTATTATAACATATAAATACTGTGTTTCTTGTTTTTATGGCTATAAAGTTATGGTTATGGCTATAAAGTTATGGTTATGTGATCGTTGCTATGTATACAGCTTTTATTTTATTTTTGTGGATCTTGTGAAATGTTATTTATTATTATGTGGGTTTTGAATACAGGATTTCGAGCATATCAAATTTTACTATTAACTGATACATAAGAATCACAAAGACAGAAAATTGGGATATAGCAAAAAGAAGTCTAAAAAAAAAACGAATGCTGTGATATTGAAAATAAAAACCGATATATATATGGACCTTGTTCCAAAATCTATATGTAAAAACTAGAAAGAGAAAAAAAAAAAAGAAGAGCAAATTATAAGTACAAAATTTTTATTGAAAATTTGTAAAAATGATTTTTATTTTCATTATTTGACTAGGGGATATGGAAGAAGTACTCTCTAAACTATAGATTTACCAAGCGCCAAATAGTTTTACCAATTAAAACATTCATAGTAGCCAAGTGCCAACAAAAATCAAATCGTTTTTGATAAATTAAAACGAAATTCAAATGATGATTTTATTTTTGTTTTGCTTACTTTCTTCAATATTTGTTTCTATACACTGGGATTATTAAGATTTAATAGATGTGTTAGTAATTTCACAATTTAAAGTGAATGTAATTCAAACAACAAATCTTGAAGGGATCTAGGAAGATGTTAATTAGAGTCGAGAAAGTCATCTTAGCTAGTGCCAAAGTATGGGAAAAAAAAAAATGGTGAGAGGAGAAGTTTAAGGTCATACACTCACTAATGAATTGATGGTACAATATTGAAAATTGGTGAGTTTATATGGAAAAACCACTCATGTTTACTAGTCAAACTAGCGATGGAAATTTTACAATTTTTTTGCCAAATATAACATTTTCATCGTTTTTCTATTAAACGTATCAAGCAAATTCACTACAAAATCTTTGTATAGTCTTATGTTGGGGTTAGGTCATAGTTTGACAAACAGGAGTGAGTAATCTTTAACTTTCAGAGTTACAAAGTTGAGATGAGAGATCTTGCATGTGTTTGACCTCTCAACTTGAAAGACTCATTTATTACAGAAAAACTTGGGAATAACTGAACAAGGGATGAGAAGCACACAAAGTACAGACTTGAGTTTCAACTTTCAACGGTAGAGACGGTAGGTGGGGCTGTACATGCTACTCTCTGCACACTTGACTATATCTTTCGGCCGTGGAAGCCGCCCCGCCAGACCTAGTTCATATGCCTTAGTTGCTACATTGGCTGCAATATGAGCTGATATTTTCCGGATGGCAGAGAATGAAGGATATATCATCCCTTTCTCATAGTTCTCTTCGCTTACTTGTCCAGCTAATGCCTCAGCTATGGCGCAGAAGAAACACATCATTATATTAATAAACAACAAAGCTGAGAGTTTTTTTTTACTAATTTTATGTCTCTTAAATGCTTACCAGCAGCTAGAAGCATATCGTCATGTACCCGTATTGCCCCTGAGATAACCAAACCAAGTCCAAAACCCGGGAATATGTACGCATTGTTCGCCTGTGTGTTAAGAAATGCAGAGAGCTTTTTACTAACCAAGTTCCGTAAAACCCAATGGATGAAGAGAAGAGAGTTTATTTATCATATTACCTGTGTCGATACAAACACATTTCCTTCATACTCAACTGGATCAAAAGGACTTCCACTTGCGAAAATGGCACGACCCTTTATTCGAAGAATATACTTAATTTCCAATTGAGGTGAAGACATATTGGAATAATGGTGTGATGTGGTGTGGTGTGGAGAGACTTACCTTACTCCAAGTATAAGCTTCTTCAGCTGTACATTCTGATTGTGTTGTTGGGTTAGAGAGAGCCATTATCAGTGGTCTCTGCAAGAAATATTTTGTTGGTTTCTCTTCCTCTTTAACCAAAACCATGTTTTAATAATAATTAATATGATCACTCATTCACTTGATAAGAAGAATAAATACCTCATTAATGGAGGACATGGCTTCTATCACTTCTTTTGTAAAAGACCGTCCAACGCCAGACGATCCAATCAGAACAGTCGGTTTTATTGCCTGATGAGACATAACACTTAAGAGGAAAGGAGAAAGATCTAAGATATAAGAGGATCACGGTGCTTAATAGGAGAAGTTCTGAACCTTGATAGCACCTAAGAGGTCTTTGACTGGTTCATGTTCATGAGCCCATGGTTTCTTGAAGGCTTGAAGTGAATCTTTGCGGGAGTTAACAATCAGTCCCTATCAGAAAAGAAAACTTGCATCAAATTGTAGTTCACATGAAATGTCGTATGCACATTGTTTTTATTTCTTCTACCTTGGAATCAACAAGCCAGATTTTCTTGCGGCTTTCCTCTACCGAACCATTCATCTGCAGAAGAAAGATGAAATAAGTTGACAGCTACTAACACTTCAGAACTCGCAAATTTCAAAGAGCACTCATTACCTGTTTTGATATATAGAGAGCTATGAGTTCTGCTATTCCAGTTCCAGCCTGAAACAACCAAACAAGAAGACATACAAAAACATTGAGCAAAAGTGGACTTCAAGGATCAGACTGTGATTCCAAAAAGTTGATTCTTACTTCACCAGCACCAAGAAAGAGGAAGGTGTTCTCTGCAAGAGGACTATTCGTTAACTTCTGTGCGGAAACTAATCCCGCTAAAACAACTGATGCTGTCCCCTGGAATCGAAAGGCAAAGACAAAATTCTCTCAAACTACGAAGGCAACAAGAAACACAAAAAAGAGAGGTCTAAACTCTCACCTGTATATCATCGTTGAAGACGAGATGAGTATCGCGGTATTTTGCAAGCAACTCAAAGGCATTATGATTAGCAAAATCTTCAAACTGTATCAAATGGCAGATAACAAAGCATATAAAACAGCTTTATCAATGATTTACTGAATCCTTGAATTATAGAATCAAGAACCATGGATTCATTTCATACCTGAATAAGAACTTTTTCGCCATAGTTCTGTTTCACAGCACTCATGAATTCATTCAAGAGTTCGCTATATTCCTGCAATGATGTTTAAAGCTACTCATTCGTGGAAGTTCATATGATCATGTTTTATATTCTTAACAGAATACAGTATACAAGAACAAAAGAAGAAACCTGTCCCGTTGCTCTCTTTTGCCTGAGTCCTATGTAGAACTCATCATTCAACAGTTTCTCATTGTTTGTTCCCACATCAATGGTGACAGGTAAACACTGCCAAAAAGCAATTTAGTCTTAAGTTCCTGACTCAGAAATATTTTTTAAACCTTTGTACAACTAAACCATTACCGCAGAAGGACGAACGCCTCCAAGTGCTGAATATAACGCCAATTTACCAACCGGTATACCCATCCCCTAAAGAGAGACAAACACAAAGGCAAACAAACAATCAAAGCCATATTGAGATCACATCAAATCCGAAATGAAGCGATATCCGAGGAATACCTGACATCCAAGATCTCCTAATCCCAAAATCCTTTCACCATCAGTAACAACAATAACTTGTATATTCCTTTCAGGCCAGTTCTTTAACACATCTAGAATCTTTCCCCTGTATGAATAGTATAAAGGTTATGTATAAAGTTTAAAGTGGTGGAAAAAATGGAAGATCATAAGATAAAGACAGAAGCAATATGTACTTGTCTTTTAAACTGATGAATAAACCCTGAGGTCGCCTGAAAATACTTCCAAATTTCTGACAAGCTTCACCAACAGTTGGAGTATAAACAATAGGAAGAAGCTCCTCAACATTATCTATCAAGAGCTTATAAAACAGTCTCTCGTTTCTTTCCTGTTTCAAGTCCAGTAACAGATTCATTTTTCTCTGAAATGCTAAACACAGCAAATTTGTAGATTATCAAGACAAGATTTTAACCTGAAGTTCTGTCAGAGCCATGTACTTTTGTAATGGAAATTGATATTGTCGGATATTGCTCATCAGCCTCTTCTCCTAAATCATTTGAAACCCCGATAAACCATTGACAAAAGCTCATCAAATTGATGCTACTAAATTTGTCAACAAACAAACCAAATCGCCAAATTTTTACCTGAAGCTTTTGATCAAGAACAACTGGAGGAAGAAGACCACGCAAGTAGTGCGTCTCTCTCTCTTTCTCAGTGAAAGCAAGTCCTTTGTTGTAGCGAGGATCTCTCAGCAATGAATATCCACTGAAACAAGAAACAGAGTTACTAACTTGAGTGTTAATTTAAACACTTAGTTATGTTACCATGGAGAAGTTATGTTGTTACCTAGAAACAGAGAGAGACCAAGGAGTTATGTTGTGCTCAATGGTGGCTGAATCTTCTCCATACACATCAATAACGCCACCATCAACAGAGGATTTCAAATCTGAGTTGGTCACTTTCTCCATCTTGAAAGGATCAATGAACACAATCCCAAAACACAAAAGCGAAAAGAAGTAGATATTCTCAGGATCACAAAGGAAGAAGCTTTCTCTACTTTTCTTGAAACATATAGTAATGGAAGGAAGAAGGTTGTGGAAAAGCCAAATGGAAGCTTGAGAATGGAGAGAGGTGTCACACTGAAGAAGACAGCTTTGGACACCACATGGACTCTGAAGTTGCCACGTACAATTAATTGAAGTTAAATATAAGCTTTAGTTTTTTTTTAATTTATTCCATAAGCAAACATACACACGGAATTACTTGTACACTAGACGACAAATCTAAGATTATAACTAAAATAAAGGAAGTACACCACATAGCTTAACCTATAAGTTAGGTTACCTAGGTCTTGTCTAACGCGCATCTTATGAGACATGAAGACAACAAACAGGACAAGTAAGTCTGTTCAACCCCAAATCTTTTTAAGCACAGAGGTTGAAGCCACTACTAATTTCTCCTGCGTTTTCTTAAGGTAAAATCTGCACAGGACCGGTCCTGCAACCTTCCAGACAAACGCGCATTTCGAAACACCTTCGGGAAAGGCAAAATCATAAACGATGTTGTAGAGTGCCAAGGCTTGGGGGTAGAGTTCTTCCAGACTTTTGTTGCTGTCTTCAAACCTTGCAGCGCCATAGAAATCCTGATACAGAGAGAATAAACCGTTCAACCGATGAGTTGTGTTAAGAAGCATTAGATGGACTAATCAACAAAAACTGTGATTCATGAAATCTATT